TCCCTGACTAGACGCTTCTCTTGTTCCAGGAAGTGAGTGGGTGTCTGCGAGGGCCAAGTCTACGGGAGAGGTGCCAGAGGGAGCTGAGAAGCAGCGAGGCTACTGTTTGGGGTCGGCAGTGTTTGGAGGTGGGAGATAGCCAGCTCTTCGTTAGAAAGAAAGGTCCTATTGAAGATCAATGAGAACGAACCCTGGGTCTCTAAAAGGTTTTATGGCCTTGCTGCCCCCTTTGAGATCTTACGGCCAGCCTGAGAAACACTCGTTGGAGACCAGGGATCAGAAACTTCTCTCCCTTCTGCCACGCTGACCCCGGTGCAACGTCATCCTTTTCCATGCAGCGATTTCTGACTTGCACCAATGCAAAGCCTAACATGAACAAACACCAGAGCTGTTTTCCTGCCCACCGCCGTCTTGGCCTTTTACACATTCCAGCGATGCTTCACATTCTCTCTGAGGTTAAAAACCACGGTTGGGGAATGGGAGGGAGGCGGGAGAGGGAATTAGCAATGACCCTCCAAGGACAATGGGGCTAGATACACATCCTCTTGACCAGCTTTTTTTTGGCTTCCCATGCTTTCACATGTGCTTTCTTGGCAGTCTGGTCCAAGCCATTCCTTGTGAGATCAGCGTAGATCCTCGTCTCCGACCTCTGCAGATAGCACCTCCTTCCGGCAGGCGTGTGAAACACGGGCAGGGCACTGGGTGTCCACTTCTGGTCATTCTGGGGACAGTACTCCAGTCGCACGACTGGGGCACTGTTGTGGATGGGTACAAACGGTTCAGGAAGGACAGGCAGGGTTGAGGAGGAGGAGTTGCACTGTGTGGAAAAGAGCTCAGAGCTCTAGTATGAAACTGGAGATAGGCCTGCTGAAAGTCTCGGAGTTAAGGTTAGAGGGGAGAGCAACAAGGGTGATGCCGTGGTGGGGTCTGCTGTAGACCACCAGACCAGGAGGATGAGGTGGATGAAGCTTTCTTCAGACAACTAACAGAAAGTTTCCAAATCACAGGCCCTGGTTCTCGTAGGAGACTTCAATCACCCTGACATGTGCTGGGAAGGCAATACAGCAGTGCGCAGGCAATCCAGGAAGATTTTGGAGAGTGTTGGGGACAACTTCCTGGTGCAAGTGTTGGAGATACATTGCCCTACGGGGACGTTGTTACTGTGCCATGCTTTAGTACTATCAAAAGGAAGTACTAAAGTAACTGCCCATATTGCACTGTGCACGTGGCGCACAGTTATTTTTTGCCTCTACTTTGTCATAGCAGTGCACTACAATGGGGGAACGCACTGCTACGGCAAAGTAGCTGCTGGTCACGTGTAGACCCACCTGATCCCTACATCGTGTAGCGATGCTCTAGGGTGATGTAGCACATCGCTGCAGTGATGTAGGGTGACATGTAGATGTGCCCATCAACTAGGGGTTGTGTTTTTCTTGACTTGCTGCTCACAAACAAGGAAGAATTGGTGGGAGATGTAGTAGTGGATGGCAATTTGGCAGCAGTGACTGCAAGATGATCAAGTTCAGGATCCTAAGGAAAGGAAGGATGGACAGCAGCAGAGTAAGGACCCTGGGTTTCAGCAAAGCAGATTTTGACTCCTGCAGGGAACTGATGGGCAGGATCCCTGGGAAGCCCAGTCTGAGTCCAGAATAGTTGGCTGTATTAAAAAAAAACCAAAAACCTTACTGAGGGCATAGGAACAAACCATCCCAATTTGCAGGAAAAATAGCAAATGTTGCAGGTGACCAGCTTAGCTTAGCAGAGAACTGTTCAATGAGTTTAAACACAAAAAGGAAGCTTACAAGAAGTGGAGGCTTGGACAGACAACTCGGGAGGAGTGTACGAGCATTGCTCGGACATGCAGGGAAGTCAGGAAGGCAACTGGGGTTGCAGCTAGCAAGGGACATGAAGGGGAACAAGAAGGGTTTCTACAAGTATGTCAGCAACAGGAGGAAGGTCAGGGAAAGTGTGGGTCCCTTACTGACTGGGGGAGGCAACCTAGTGAGAGAGGATGCAGATGAGGCTGAAGTGCTCAATGCCCTTCTCACCTCAGTCTTCACAGGCAAGGTCAGCTCCCAGAGTATTGCACTGGGCAGCAAAGTTTGGGGGGGAGGTGAGCAACCCTCAGTGGTGAAAGAACAGCTTAGGGACTATTTTGAAAATCTGGATGTGCACAAGTCCATGACGCTGGGCAGGATGCACCCAAAGGTGCTGAGGGAGTTGGCTGATGTGACTGCAGAGCTGCTGCCCATGCCCCCCTGCGATGGGGGGAGGTCCTGGATGATTGAAAGGGGGCAAATATAGTGCCCATCTTTAAGAAAGGGAAGAAGGAGGATCCAGGGAACTACAGACCAGTCAGCCTCACTTTAGTCCCTGGAAAAAGCTTGGAGCAGATCCTCAAGGAATCCATTTCTAGGCACTTGGAAGTGATCAGGAACAGCCAGCATGGATTCACCCAGGGAAAGTCATGCCCGTCCAACCTGATGGCCTTCTCTGATGAGGTGACTGGCTCTGTGGATGTGGGGAGAGCGGTGCATGCGGTGTACCTTGATATTAGCAAGGCTTTTGATGCGGTTTCCCACAACATTCTCACAAGCAAGCTAAGGAAGCATGGGCTGGATGAATGGACTGCAAGATGGATAGAAAATTGGCTGCATCATCAGGTTAAATGGGTAGTAATCAATGGCTCAATGTCCAGTTGGCAGCCAGTATCAAGTGGAGTGCCCCAGGGGTTAGTCCTGGGGCCGGTTTTGTTCAATATCTACATTAACAATCTGGAAGATGGGATGGAGTGCACCCGCAGCAAGTTTGTGGATGACACTAAGCTGGGGGGATACACTAGATACACTGGAGGGTAGGGCTAGGATTCAGAGCGACCTAGACAAATTAGAGCATTGGGCCAAAAGAAATCTCATGAAGTTCAACAAAGACAAGTGCAAAGTCCTGCACTTAGGATGGAACAACCCCATGCACCAGTACAGGCTGGGGCTGACTGGGTGGGCAGCAGCTCTGCAGAAAAGGCCCTGGGGGTTACAGTGGACAATAAGCTGAATATGAGCTGACAGTGTGCCCTTGTTGCCAAGAAGGCATCCTGGGCTGCATTACTAGGAGCTTTGCCAGTAGGTTGAGGGAAGTAATTATTCCCCTCTATTCAGCACTGGTGAGGCCACATCTGGAGTCCTGTGTTCAGTCTTGGGCCCCCACTACAGAAAGGATGTGGACAAGTTGGAGAGAGTCCAGTAGAGGGCTACAAAAATGGTAAGTGGGTTGGGACACACGATTAATGAGGAGAGATGGAGGGAACTGGGCTTATTTAGTCTGCAGAAGAGAAGACTGAGGGGGGGGTTAATAGCAGCCTTCAACTACCTGAAGGGTGGTTACAAAGAGGATGGAGCTGGGCTGTTCTCAGTGGTAGCAGGTGACAGAACAAGGAGCAATGGTCTCAAGTTGCAGCAAGGGAAATTTAGGTTGGATAGTAGGAAAAACTCTCTCCCTAGGAGGGTGGTGAAGCACTGGAACAAGTTACCTAGAGCAGTGGTGGAAGCTCCATCCTTGGAGGTTTTTAAGGCCTGACTCCACAAAGCCCTGGCTGGGATGATCTAGTTGGGGTTGGTCCTGCTTTGAGCAGGGGGTTGGACTAGATGACCTCCTGAGGTCCCTTCCAACCCTAATTTTCTATGATGCTATGATCTTCCTCTCTTATACTGGTTTTCTACTAAAGCAGGAGAACCTTTTTGGCCAGGTGGCCAGTGGTCCTGATCTAGCTCCTGGAGCGGTCACAGTGGGACCCCATCCAGCCGTGTGGACTGGGGAATGATGGAGAGCAGCCCAGCCCCTACCCAGCCTCACAGGTGGAAAGGGGCTTGAGGTAGCCTCAGCACGGCCCTACGGTGGGGAGAGGGGAGTGAAGCAGCTTTGCTAGGGTCCAAACTAGCTTGCAGGTCAGGGAGGGAAAGGATGTGGGCCAACCCTGTTCCAGCCTCAGGGGGAGTGAGGCATGGCCCAGCCCTGATCCAGCTATGGGAGTGGGGAGGGAGTATGGCCCAGCCCCAGCCCACTGGGCAGGCTTTGGGGTCTGGCAGTGGAGGAGGGTGGCTGTATTAATAACCACTGCTCCCCCACTGCAAAGTTTCCTGACCCATGGGCTAGATACTATGGTGCCATGGGCTGCATTTGGCCCATGGGCTGGAGGTTGAGTACCGCTGTACTAAAGCAATACCTGACCCAAACCCATGCCATAAGACACTGAGGACCAGATCCTACTCCACCAATTAGGACCTATGGTAAGTGGACATCTGGAGAGTACCTATACACATGCATCGAGGGCATCTAAGGGTGCTTGTACACACGCATTGAGGCTGCTGGAGCGTGGCATCACACGTATCAATGTCCCCACACTGAAAAAAGGCAGTGGGGGAGCTTTAACAGTGCAGGGATGCTGATACATGTGATGCTTCTGGTGCTTTAATTAGAGCAGCTCTCGGAGTCACTCCAATTACAATGCCCCCTCCCAGGACACATGTATAAATGCCCTAAGTGAGATCTTTTTCCACCCCGTTTCAGTCCCTGAAACTCCATTAATGCATCTCCTTCAGTAACACGCCACCGTTTTGGCCTGAAGAGAGAGTCACAGAAAAGCAGTGAGGGACACGAGGACCCATAAGCATTGTTCACGGACTTGAATAAGGTAGAATAGGATCATACTTAGGTCCCTACTAGGTGGAATAGGATCTGACCTTCAGGTCTTATCTGCACACAAAGGTTGTATACTATACTATAGCAATATAATTAACTACTCCCTTTGGTGTGGATGCAATTACCAGTAAGAAAGTGCTTTTAAAATATAACTTCCCTATTTTATAGTTGTACCAGTATATCATTAAGATCTCACATCCTACCTGACATAGTTAAACTATAAAGACTGACCCTGAACAGAAAATTGACATCCGCAGAGCATCCTCTAGAATTTTTTTAGCACCACTCAAACCCTTATGCTGGGCAAAAGAAAAGTAATTTTATCAGCTAATGGGAAAACATTACATTTTGCCAAATTTCATTTTCATTGGGTTGTTTTTCAATCCTTCTCCATCATCATCATGCTCACATATTACATAAACTGTGGTCTGATGTCAATTGTGAGCTCACAAAAGGATGTTTATTCTGGCATCTCCCCAAAGACAAGGTTTTCCAGCCCTTGGTTTTTCTTTAGACACAAACCATGTCGACCCGGCCAAAGTCAATAACCAAAGCACACTTCTGAGGTCAATGCTGCTTCAGTGAAAACAAGGAATCCACGGTCCATATAGAAAAGCATAAATCCAACAAAATTAATCCCAGTACATGTAAAAAAAAAAAAAAAAAGGAATTATGTAGCCACATCTCCTTTATGGCCCCCACATTTGCCATAAATATGGGACTGCAGGACCTGTCAGCGCCGACTGGAAATAACTTCTGGAGCAAAGCATCTCATCTGTGATAGCCAAATCGTGTATTTTTTGCTTCTTGCTGCATTAGTAATTAATTCTGGGTAAAAAAGTCAGCCTTGCTGAACAACAAAATAGTAGCTTCCATTTTCCACACAGAACAGAGAACGATATTTTTCCTGCCGTCCCCGGCATCATTAAGTATTCCATTTAAATAGGCCAGCTTCACTATGCCTATTATGAAGTTATAGTGTAGCGCTCTGTTATGAGGGATGAGGCTGTTGTGTCCTACGGGGAGAAAAATCACTGTAATCCAACTTTCCTTTTGAAAAGGCCTAATGTATCCACATGAGATCTTCTGGCAGAGGCAACTGAGAGAATATAAATAGAAGCTTAAAAGAAGAAAAATGGAGGGGAACCCCTCTCCCCTGCTCCAACAAGGCTGAGTAGTTAAAATTCACAAGTTTAATAGAAAGATGGATGACTGAGAGACTGTTCTGTGACACAATTAAGACTTTATTTATTTGTATCCAACCAAATTTCTTGCAAAGGCTATTTCACACTGCCATGTGAGCTTGCTATTCTAACTAGCCCTCCAAAGGCACAGTAATGTATTGCACTGGCTGCGGGAAGCTAACCCGGCTCTGGGCATGTGGGTTACAAGAACACACAGCATCTCCTCCAGCCTCCCCCACCACATAAAAGAAAAGAGCAAGGGCAATAGTGCATGTGGGTATCCGTGGCAGGAAGAAGTTTCTGCTTAGGGGCAATGGCAAGTTCTCAACATTGATCTTGTCAAGACTCTGATTGTGCCTTCACTTGCATTGCACCTAAGTGCCTTCCAGTAATGCACTGAGTGACATGACTATCATCTGTCACATGCTACCCAACTTTCAGGGGGAAACATCACTCATTTATCACACAGGATTTATTTGGGCTGGCATGCTTTCCTCCACAAACCGGGCACAGACAGGAATTATTTCTTCTAGGTAGAAAGGAGTGGGGATTTGCAGGTACCATCGCTGGTAGCTGTCTGCATGCACCTTCTGACTCAATGGGAAGGGAATGGCAGGATAGCTTTCATCCACATGGGATTAGTGTGGGCATGGCCAGTTATCATGGAATAAGCCCTGCCCTCTTCTATCTTGCAGGGTACCTAGTTTCTATGCCCAGGCTCTCCGAATTACATCAGTTCCTTTGTCCAAATGTCATTAAACCAGTGGAAAAGGCTGTTAAGAGGCTTAATTTGGTCTCACTAGGTCAATTAGGAATAGGTTAAATGGGCATAGGCCAACTTTAAGGGGCATGTCTACATTCAAGAACATGCAATGATTTGTAAAGTGGATAAATGGCACCACATTACGCCCCTGCATGGACAGTCTCATTTAAATGTCACCGTTTCATTTGTTTACTATCAAAGGAATGAAATTAAGTCTTCAGAGTGGCCGTACAAGGGTTGATGCAAGTAAATGCATCCACTACGTCTACAGTTTCAAGTTGACACCTATAGTTAATTTGGATCAATTGTCCAGAGTGACTTTGAAGATCTCTCTGGGGGGTTTAAATAAGCCAAAGCAAATTTGTATATAGACAAGGTCCAGGACAGACTCTGAGAAAGGACACGCAGGCCCTCAGGGGTCTGTCAGGCCAGGGGAAAGCGGAAGGCAGGGGCATAGAGAATGCTGGCTGAGACATTGTAATTACATCAGAAGATAGGGAGATCAAAGGAGCGGGTCTGAGGAGGGTACAGATGTGTACTGGGGTCTCGCTCTCACCTGCATTCCAGTGCTAGGAGGCTCCAGCAATCAGCAAACCAACAGGCACGACCTTGCTTATCACCAAATGGATCCTGGCTTCCTATTGTCTCAAGGGAGATTTTCTTCTTAAAGGCTGTGCTCAGCTAAAATGTCTTGAATGTTCATTTGATGCTTGAAATGGCCCCATTAGAAATATATGGTCTCTGTAGGAATGCTGCTTGGGGCAACGTCTTCTCCTCTGAACTTTTAATAACAGTACTCAGCTCCAACTGGGTACTTTTCAAGTGGAGACTCAAAGCATTATCCCCCACTTTACAGATGGGGAAATAGTCAGATGGACTACCCACTCACATGGACTAGTTTATGGCCACCCAGCAGGCCAGCAGCCCAGCCAGGGATAAAACACAGTTCTCCCTAATTCAATCTACCACCTTGCATTGAACTTCTGTACTGGCCCCGTATTAGCCCTTAGAAGTATCTACATAGGAGGGTCGTGCAGTCAAATAAGGAATCTAGAGTTCATCTTCCAAATACATTGGCCTGGAGGAAACATTGCGCGACCAGAAGCTTCTGTACAGGTTGCAGACGGCAACAAACACCGGTCTAGCATAGGGGATGCAACAAGCTTCTGGCATGCTGGGTTGCAGCCTGCCCACAGCGGGGGAAGGATTCTGTAATCACTCAAAGGCATGGCAATCCACTTGCAAAAGTTGAAGTTTTGTGCATAGGGGGTTAGGGTGAGGAGGTGGAAGTTCCCTCCTTGGTTTATAGGCCTGAGTCCACAAACCAGAAGCGGTGAGCTGCAAACAACCGGAGTCCAAAGACATCATTCTGCTGCTTCACAGCGTTTTCAGTGGATCTGCTTTGCTAATGACTTGCTGTGGGGCTGGTGCTGGAGGTGGTTGATTTCATTTGAAAAAAGCATCTGGGAAAAATAACTCTCCTCCATGCACATGAATTATTGTTCAAAAGTGAATTCCTTGGCTGTCAACACCGCACTAACAGTAAAAATACCTGGTGCTTCAGGACCAGCTGCCTGGAGAAGTTTTCACAATTGCATTCCATGGAGACAGCAAGAGTGGCCAGTTTCTGTGCATAACAGCACTCAGCCAGGAACAAGAACAAATAAATGGATAGGGAGGTTTTTGGAGAGGACATTCAAGCTCTGCTATGCCCTACACAAGTGCAGAGGAGACCGACCAAACCCGTCAGTGGCCCTGAGTACAGAGGTTATTTCCTGGACTGGAGGATAATTGTAGACAGGAACTCTGCTCCTGACAGCACCTGTGCCAGGATTGATAGATGCAGCTAATTTAATTCTGGATGCACTGCTTTTGAATAGCAACAGTTCTGGATTACAGGGGCAATACCAGAGGCAAGAATAATATAGCGACAGGATGGTTTGCCATTGCATAATTTAGGGAATGGAATTTTCTCTCTTCTTCTTACCTTTAAAAAATTTCAATAGATGACAAAACTCTTCGGCTGCAGGTGACACAAACATGATACAAATGGAGTCTGAGAGCTCATTTGATTTAATGTATTTCCCTTCCTGTTACGTGTCTGTTTATGCCACAGCATTTTCCCATCATAGATCCTTTTCCACCTTCTTTGGGAGTTAAATGGGTTCCAGAGTCTCAGAAAATGTTGCCCGCTGGGGCGTGAACACATAATGTTTGAACTAATCCACAAATGTCATTGTTTGGGAATGGTTTGGAGAGCTGCTGTGGAAATCCACTGGGGTGGAAATAACAATTAGCCCAGGGAAGTAGGAACCAAGTGAACATAAAAGTAAAATGTGGGGAGGTTGGAAAGATACAGCTATTAGTGTGCTATTATTGTTTGGAAAATAAGGTTGGGACCAATCAAGGTAAGGAAAGGGCCAGAAAGAAAACATCAGTGGAGGAGGCAGGTTGTGGAGGTGTCACAGCTGGAGCACGTGAACTGGAACGGCCCCTGCGAACCAAACCAAGGGATGCGGACCCAGTTGGGGGACTCTTCCGAGACTTGTCGCAGCCACTTCCTGCGCCGACTTTCTGAGCTCAAGGGTTACATCTCATGGGCACAGCCTGTTTCTAGGAAGATTGCATGCTATGAGCGCTGAGCTGAGATGCGGTCGCCTGGGGGTTGGGGCACTCACATGGCAGGAAGGAGATCTTGATTCAGTAAAAGCAGGTCGTTCTTTGAGCAGCATCGTCACAGATCTCCGAGCTGGGGTTCAGCTTTGATAAAAGAAAGAACTAGATTCACAAATTAATGTTGGGGTAATTTCGTTCATATTAAGTGTTCGCGATCAGAGCAGGAAATAGAACCCAGGTCTCCCTCCACGTAGACAAGTGCCGTAACCATTACACTACAGTTATTTTCTCTTGCTGGGTCAAAGAATATTTAACTGTTTCATGCAAAGGCAAACTACTCCTGCAGAAAATCAACCCCCCCCTTTCCTCCCCGCCCTGACCCAGCATCCCTGATAGCCTGGTGTTGAGACCACTTTCTTGAAATGTGGGATCAGGCAAAGCTGGGATTTGAAGCCAGGTCTCCTACATCTCACTGGACTAGTAGATAAAAGGGGTCCCCACCCCTGCCACTTCTGGCATCTGTACGCATGCATGCCCCGCACCACCAAGCACTTCTAAAAATGCCCAGTGCTGCAGCACATACATTTGTATAAATGGCAAAATGCACATCACTGAGAAAATGGCGGCAGTACGCTTTTGAACTAAAACATATCAAAGGTGTTTTAATTCAAAAGTGCACTGCCACCATTTTCTGCGTGCTGGTACAATTTGCCATTTATACAGATGCAATGCAGTGCCAGGCGCATCAGCTCGCATGCTCTGCAGAGTTGGTTAATCGAGTCTGCTCCAGGATTTCTGGTGTATTGGAGCAGACAAAGATATGTGTATAAATGCCCTTCAATAGCAGGCTGGACTAGATGACCCTGGAGGTCCCTTCCAGCCCTGGGGTCCTGACTTTTGCTCCCATATCTTGTGCTTTGGGATGGCAGGTTTTGGTGCCTGACTCTCTGAAACAGCCTTCATGTCTGTGAATCCCAACTGGAAGGAGATGCTCAGTTCTTTCTCCTCTACATGGCCTTCCCTGCTAACTTAAGCTCCTCAACTCAGCACGTTGGCCTCTTTACAAATTAGGCATTACAACAGCAGGTGCTGTAGTGCAGTCTTTTGTCAATCTAGCCCTTTGTCTGATCAAAGCTGAACCCCCAGACGGAGAGGTCACAGACAATTATGTTGCTCATTGAATGACTGGCTTATACCACACCCCCAAAATAGCCGTAACTTATACCTTTTTACCTTTAAATCATGCAAAATACACAGGAGTAAAGCAAAGCAGCAGGGTACTGTTAAGATGTTCACTACAGTGTCCTTGAGCAACTGGAGCGCTCACTAAGCGTTGAATATTGAAAACTATCCTGCAGCCTAGGGCTGCCTGCTCCAGCGGGAGGGTTTGGTTCTTGCTTCAAGCAAGGAAGGCCTTGCTTGTCACATGGACGGCGAATGTAAGTGCATTCACAGCTCAACATAAATTGCTATTATTACTAGAGAGGAGGGTCACAGAGAAAACTAAGGGGGATGCTGTGAGCTCTCCCCAGGCTGTTTTGTAAGCATCCCATATACACAGAATATCTTATAGAAGAACACCATTTGGTGGAGTAGTACATCTCCCTTGTCCACAGAAAACACTCATGGATGTGGCCTGACTGGACAAAGACCTCAAAATGGGCACAGTAATAGCTGTATCTTTATTTACTCAGATTAAGTAACCTTTATCTCTGTGGTCATCTCTGCCACCATAATATGGGAAACATTTCTATGATCCACCTAGGGGATTGCTTGCTTTTGTACCCAAACAGATAACACACCATACCAGGCCAACATCTCGTAACCTGGAGAATAGGTTGGTAAAGATACACCGCCTCACCCCAAAAGGAATTGAGCTGTCTTGATACGCTGCACTCAGGATTGCTAACTTGACGGATGACTTTCCAGTACGTTACCCTGAAGAGTAAACAGATCAAATGTTTATAGCTCAGCAGAAAATTGAATTACGGTTGCTTATCATCACATCCTGGTCCTGAGAGTGGGTCTAAACTCATTGTGTACCTGATAAAAAGGAAATACAAGCTACATGATAGGTATCAACATCTCAAGCTTTCGCTTACCATTGTCTTCTACATTCTCTGTGCCTTTAAAGAGCTCCCTGCTGGAGGACTAATTCACTTAATTGCATTAATAAATCTTGCTTATGTCCCTATGTCCAGCTGGGATTTCCCCTACAAAGTGGTAATTAGGGCTAAGAGCTAACCACTGTACAACAGAGATCACCCCCGGTGCTCATTTAATATCCAGTGAGGTTTCAGGACCATAACAGAGGCACTTCTCAACAGGGGCTTATTCACTCATTCATTGTAGAACTGGTCTGGATTATGAGCTTGTCTACAGCTTCACGACATACAGGGAAAACTTGTGGCAAACAATGGTGTCCTTTAATCAGGGTCAACCCTATTTTATTATTGCTTTCTACAGGATCATATGTTACAGCTATTGTACCTGCATGCAAAATTGGAGTCCCCTTGTCATTGGTATTTTAGAAAAACACATCTTCTAAGGCTAGGGTGGCCAGCCTGCAGCAAGTGGCATGGGACAGATGAAGGAGGTGACAGACAGCTCAGCAGCAGATCAGGCAGAGAAGAGGACTGGCGTGGCACACAGGGGGAGCGAGGGGCTAGCAGCACACCCGGCAAAAAGCTGGCACTCACTGGTCAAAGCACCTGCCTTAGTGAGCTTAAAGTCTTAACTAGAAAAGACAGTTGGAAAGGCATGTAGCGGTGATATGACTGTCACACAGCAGAACAGCGGGCTCTTGGTCCATGCTTTGGGTCATACCGTCTCTACCACAGCCTGACATACTATGGTCTTTTAAACAAAGATTTCCCACTGTTGCTTTCAGCTCCAATCCATCATGGCAATGGCAGAAGTCTTAGTTTAGACAAAGTGCCAGTGTCTACCTAGTATTTACAGCCTGGCCACAGGTAAGAGCTGTCAGTTGATAAGATAAGACCTATCAGCACTAGCAAATGTTACCACCACTGTTTCAGTTGTCACCGCATTTCCCCAGATCTCTTCCATGCTTCGCTGCTTGTGATAACACATTATAGTTATGCACGTCTCAGGCAAAAAACATGATGCATTGTGTGTAGGGATGAGTGCCAAGCTATGGGAAAGCTGCCGTACAGGACACCTGCACTGTTCTCAGGGAGCTGGGGTCAATATGAGGCATAGATGCATGGCAAGGGGGTGTCAACAGGGCAGTTTTGCCCATCGAAATTTAGTGTATACCAGGGTGGCTCCAAGACCAGGCCTTGTAGTGGATGTAAATCCCACTTCTCACTGGAGTCCTGCTTACACCAGCACTCTTCATGCAGCTGTGAGTGGAGCTGAACCTGTAGGAATGATTTTGCCAAGGATCTCAGGGCAGATGTTATGCAGTGAACATGATTCTCCAAGCAGCTGTCAGGTCCCTTCACACCTGTGCTCCATCACGTAGGGAGCAGGTTCTCCAGCACATGGAATAAGTACATCCCTCTTCACCAAAGCGGCTTATGCTTCTGGAATTAGGTGTGCAACAAAGCTGAGGCTGGTGCTGTTTGCAACATAGCACCAAACACCTGCTCCCCAGAGAAGCAGCCCCATCACTTTGTTCCCAGGGCTCAGCTCAGTGACAGATGCTAGCCTCAGAGCTTGCATATGTCTCTGCAAAGGCATTTGGCTCTGACAGCCTCCCAGTGCTGAGTCAATTAGCTACCTGTGCAGTTTATCATTCAGGTCTAGCACTGTATGCTCAAGACTGATCACAAAGGGAAGTCACTTCATGCGGTGGGTCACAGTGGGGGTCTGACACTTGTTTGATCTCAGCACCAGTGCAGCAAACTTCTCCTTTCAATGCTGCTGGATCTTCAATCTTCACATCCTTAAAAATAAAAGTGAGTGTATGTGAAAGAGCACTTTGTAATAGGAACTCCTGGAACAATTCCTCTCTCTCACCCTCTTGCTGAGCCATAGAAAACAGCAAATACGATTCCCCAGAGTCCTTTTTACAATAGAAAACGGCAGGCAAGACTGAATTTTCACTGAGTTCCCACCCTCGCCCCAAACAGCAGACAGACACAAATTCAAAGGGCTGCGAGAGGGTGGGGGCAGAAAAGCAGGGGGAAGACACTGCATTTTTTATGGTTATGTGTTTTGTGAGAACCTGGCTGGGGAAAGGAAAGTTTTTTGGCTGCAGGCGAGAAAGGTACATGGGGACCTGTGCTTTAATCCTGGCAGGAGGAAGTGGTCTCTGGTTCTATACTTGAAAACAGATTAGCACTGACATTTGACTTGTCTTGATCTAATCTATTTACAGACTCATTATCTGTGTATTTTTAACATGCTGAGAAGATTCACATAGCCAGATGCCTCTTGTGCTGTAGGATGTAGTGCATTCCACAGCCATTACTCAGGGGTCACAAACCCAAGAATGCTTTTAGTGGGGGGAAGGGGAGAGAAACAGCTTGACTTTATTTTATTTTATTTATCGGGATGTGGCAGGACTGAGGTTTCCTTGCCTTTCTGCGTGTTTAAGCGGCGAGAGATAACAAAGCCACTGGGAATGGCCGGAATAAAACATTAATGGAACCGAGTGGAAGAGATTGCAGGAACATCCAAAACCGTGCCCTGTAGCATGTGGAGACACACAGAAAGATAATGCCTCTGAGCCAGCAGGACCAGTCATAAATGAAAATGCACCGCTGATCTACTGTACAGTGGGGGAAGTCTTCACCGTTCAGTGGGCCTGGATATCATGCCATTGGTTCAACAGGTCCAGGCATCAGAGATCCTGTCCTAGAAGAGGTCCCACCCTGCAGCTGCCTGCTTTGGGGGTGAGGCACAGTCCTGGCTGGCTGTGCTGCTTCACTGCCTCTGCTCAGAGCCTGCCTGGGGAGATGATCTATGACAGACCTTGCCCATGTGGCTGCAGCTGTCCAGACGTCAGGGGTTGGACAGGCAGGGAAAGTATCTCTCCTCCACAGCCCCAGCCCTTGCACTGCTAGGGGATCCCAGTGCAGAAATGCAGGTGGGATGCTGTAATAGGGAGCTAGGGGCTCCATACTTTAAGGGGAAAATGCAGCAGGCCAACCTTGCAGGGTAGGCTGGCAGCTGAGCAGCAGCTAGCCGCACTGCAACCAGCTGGCTACGGGGCAGAGTCCAGGCAGCCTGAAAGTAAAGGCTGCAAGCAGCTGCGTTAAGCTGAAGCAGGGAGAGGAAGGCTGACCATTAAGCCCAAGGAGAAACCCGTGTGCAACTGGGGAGTCACCTGACTGGAAGGGGCAAGGCTCCAAAAGCATATAAATCCAGCACCAGAAGCAAGGCAGGCAGCCTGGGGCCTTTGCGTGCTGGAGGGAGTAGAGCTCCACGGAGAGTGGGGTTGAAAGAGGAAGCCTAGCAAGCACCCGAGCCACCTGTGGGAGCCAGGAAATGAGAGCCCAAAGGGAGGTAGGGTTTACAGGAAAGCATAAACCCAGAGTACGGGAGATTTTTGTTGAAAGTGGTCACTTGTATTTGTGCTGCATTTGAATTAGAAGCAGAGGACCGGTTGTGGCTATGGGGGGCACTATGGGGGCCACAGGGATACTGGAGAGGCACCCCACATACAGCCCTGTAGGGGTCAGAGACTGTAAGGGGCCTAAGCAGCATCAGAACCACCTGCTCTGGCCTGGGGACCCAGGGGACTGTGGGGTGCATAAGCAGCCTTGCCTGAGTTAGGGGCCCCAGGGGGTTGAGAGATAAAAAAGAGCAACCTTGACTCAGGCCTGGGACTTCAGCAGGCCCAGGGCCCAACATACAGAGGGGGCTGAGAAAGCCAGGCTGGGACAAGTGTGTCATGCCTGGAGGCTGGCAGCCAGAATTCACAGAAGTTTAGGCTGGAAGGGACTTCATGAGATCATCAGGTCCAGCCCCCTGCTCTGAGCAGAATAACAGTGGACTAAATCTAAGAGGGCAGAGGACCCCATAGGAAGGTTCAGGATGGTGTCAGAACAACACCTGCAAGGCATGGGCATGGCTACAGGGGAGGATGGAGGCCACAATTATTGCCCCTAAGATGACTTGTCCTTTGAGGCACAGATAAGGCCAGGGGGCTGCAACTCAGTTGGAGGAGTGAGGTGCCAGCTATGCACTTGAGACAACAGGTAGCGAGAAACTGAGGCCAAAATCGGGGCCCTGGGGCAGCCTCCCTAAATATCAGTTGCATCAAGACATGGCAGGCGAAGTAAAAAGGAGGTTGCCCCCCAGAGCTGAAGTGGGGCAGGAAGTGCTTGGCCACCACGCTGCATCATGGCCACCCAGGGCCTCAATCCCACTGCAGATGTAAAAGAGTACGGTGTTGCCTCTGTATTGCTACACCCCTTCCTCCTGGCACCATGCTGCCTGGCAGGAAGGCACCAAAGGAAGAGAGACTTCCTTGAGGAATGGCTTCCATTCCCTGTGGAGTCAGGGGAAGGGAGGATAGTCTGCAAACAACCTGGCTTCCTGGTAGAGGGAATGCTCTGAGGACTGCCTCCATCCCCCCACCCTGGGACTCCTCGCTGAATTGGGCAAGGTGCCCTTTGCTAATTCTACCTTTCCCCTCACGTGGAAGGCAGAGGGAGCTGGCTCATGCTTGTCTGACCATAGGTGGCGAGTGCTACACCTTCATATGATCCCTCAAGGAAGAGCCAGCAAGCAGTTATTACTCTTACAGCAGGTCCCTCATGCAGCTGCCATAGGCCCCTGTTTTCACCCCTGCTCTTTCTTAGCCACAGATGCTCGTTAACCACCAGTCCAGCTCTCACTGATATGGCTGTGCGTCCACACAAGATGCTGAGGTTGGATAAGAAGCTTTCATTTTGCAGAGATGGTACCAAAGCAGACAGTGGTGGAAAGTGAGAAGCAGCACTACAACTGAGGGCGGTGAGGCAGCTACACAGGAAGTCGGTACCAAATGGAGGGGACAGAGGCATGCAAGGTAACTAGAAAAGCAAGCTGCTTGGGTGTGTGTGCAGTGCTGTTGAACTGAAGAGGCCCGTGGGAGTTAGACAGCAAGCTCTTAAAGTAGAGGCCCTTATATTTTGGCTCTTAATTTGTACAGCACCTAGCGCAATGGGATCTGGATCCACATTGAGGGCTCTTAGGTATTCAAATAAAAATCTGTTATAAGTACCTTGTTTAAGCCGTGCCTCAATCTTTTCCTTAGGTGCTATTCCTAAGACTCAAGAGCAATTCAGCTGACTTCCTGTTGCCCCACCTACACATTTAATTCACTTAACTGAGAAAGCCAAGCGGACTGGGCATCACTATCACCCTCACCCCTATCCCTGAGCTGTGAGGTCTGGCAACTTCCTCACAGAAGAAGGCTTAGTGGTAGGGTTGGAGAAAGGATCAGTGACAGGCACTGATCCTTTTTCCAATCCTAGCGCAAATATCCCATGACACAGATGCAAAGGTGCTGCTCCTGCTGGGTTGGGTTTGTAACACGACTGGCATCGGAGCTCTGTTCGTGAAGGGCCTGTTTGCTGCAGTAGGCTGGGCACTGTCCCATTAGTGAGAGCCTGGGCACACAGCTCCTCCCTGAGTCAAGTCTTACATACATGTAAGGCCTGCAATGATTGTGGAAGAAAGTTCTAATAGGAAGGAGCCCGTCTCTGGGCTTGGAGGCAACCTGTGGTTGCAAAAGTCCCTGGGGGTGTAGGGAGGGGGGAGGGAAAGGAAGACAGAACATGGTGGCATGTGGGAAGGGGGCGCATGAGCCATCAGCACAGCACAGAGATGTGCTCTGCCCTGGCTCCTTGTAGATAGATCTGTGCTACATCAGGTCCCCTGTTCTTTACCCATAGAGACCATGGGGCTGCTGTTTAACAGCTGGATAGCCACTGCATTTCTTGAGGGATGCTGTCTCATTTCTCATCCCCCGCAGTGCTCTGTAGAGGTGAAGAGGCTGACCTGAAATACCAAGAGCAGACATTTCCACCGGGCTGCCCTGTCTTACCGTGCCCAGAAGCTACAGGAGGTGCAGGTCAGTTCAGCGCAGATGGATCATGTGGCTGGTTGGGTTGGGCCAGGAGGGGCCTGATATGTGACCCAGAGCTGTTCAAAAAGGAAAACTAAGTCCAGTGGCATGGAGGCTCTGTTGTTTGCACTAGGGAACAGGAACGCACAAATTATCCCGCCTTTTTTTCCATGTGGTGTTTCCAGGGCAAGCCACTTGGCTATCTCCTGAAAGCCAATTGATTATTGATACCTCCCATGGTGGGAAGGATTCAGGGTTGTGCTGATATGCTGCGTGTCCCCGCAGCAGTCACTGAAGTCACCTGAAGTTGTGAGTCTTCAGCACCTCCTCTGCTACGGCCCTTTCATCCTGTGTGAATAAGCACCGAAGGGCACTCACAGAAAGCTAAATGGATCTACCTGGCACCTTGATGAGCAGAACGGTCCTGCAGCCTGCTTCCAGGGACACCTCCACGCTCTTCTCCACAGATGGTCCATGGGACTGGACGAAAGTCCTGCCTTGGGTGAGGTATTTAAAGATGTCTACCTTCAAGCAAGTAAAGGGGCTCATTGAGTGGCTTACATGCTTAACTACCTTGCTGAGCAAAGGCTTAGATCAGAACTGGACACACACAGAGGAAAACTACAAAGCAAGCATATACACAACAACACAAGCATCTCTCATTTCTGATGGCTTTGTGCCTTTTTGTCGCAAAGGAAATCATTTGTACATGCATGTATTTATAGTGAGCTGCTTACAAGAAACCTTCAGCCCCACCCCAGGTTTGCAAATGTCCTGTACAACTTAGCTGCCTTGGTCAGTTGTTCTGTCTCTTTTCCTTCAACGTCCTGTTCTATAGCTGCTGTGAAGACGAGAAACGAAGGAATAAATGAAACAGCTGGCACCCACCCAGTAAGAATAAAGCACAGAACTTTATTCATTGACTTGAGTATAACAGTGATGCAGATTATAGTGGCAGAGGAGTGCGATGTGCTGCTTGCAAGACAGAAGTGGAAATGGTTAATTGTACAGAACAGCAACCTGCGACTGCTCCGTTTTGCCGACAGGCAGACCTTGTGCACAGACAGACAGCCATTCACTTTTACAGAGAGACTCGGAGAGAGAGCCCCCCTCCTCCCCAAGGGCTACTGTGTTTGGTTTCTGGAGGGAAGGGAAAACCAAGCAAATCCCAAATCCCTAGCAAAGTAAAACAGAACAGAGCTTTCTACAGTTAGCTTTGTCTTCAGGGGAAAAACCCGCTGCTATAAGACCCGCTTCAAGCAGGGTTGTCAGCACCTCAGTCATTGTGGTGGCACAGAACAGGTTAGTTAGTGATCCAAACACATGATGTTCAAGGAAGACGCTATTCTGTGGAGAATACAGATATTGTTTAAATCCAGCCAGATGCCTAAGGACCCAATCCAAAGCTTGCTGCAGACAATATGGGACTTCCCATTGATCCTGATGGGTTTGGGTCTACGGACAGGATGCTCAAAGGTGTTTGGACACAGATAGGTGTCTACTGGGATTTGCAAAAGCACCTAGGTGAGTTTGGTGATTCAAGGTAGGTCCACGCCTACACCCTTCAGGGCTTAAATATCTTTGTGAAGTTAAAGCAGCCGTGTTGTACTCACTGTAGTAACGCCGACAGACTGTATGGCAGAAACAACTGTTTGCTACCAAAGCCAAACATGGGCTCCCTTCACTTCAGAGAATGAAGTTCCCGGAGCAAGCAGGCCCATTATTTTTTCATGTGGATGAGCACTTTTAGGAAGTAATTAACAGAACTGCATTTCCCTTTGGGCAATGAAGTCATTCATGGTAACCACAGGAGTGGCCAATTATTTTCCCACTTCCCCAACTTGTGCTTGAGATTTAATTGACAATGCTCCTTCCCCAATGCCAAATGCAGGCACCAGAGACTCTGCACAGGAGGTCTTTCAACTGGAACCTCAACATCTTTCCGTTGTGTTGCTTTTCTTCTCATTTAAACTAAGAGCCGGGACTCCCAAGGCAAAACCATCGGCAGCTGCCACCCATGGTGGAGCCTTTTGACCCACAACTCTGGGGAGTACTTTCACGCCAAAGGAGAAAGGCCTACTGTCCTGCCATCACGCAGTTCACTTGCTTTTTCTGTGCTCATTGTGACTGCTGCGGCGTAAGACCAAACCCATGTTCTCGGGGGTCTGCATAGTCCTTGCTCCCCTGGGCAGCCCCAGAGCGCAGGTGCAGGGTTGGGCTGCTCAAGTTAACAGTGACCCCCCAAATCTGGACCCAACTGCGTCTCTGTTAGGGTCAGATGACCATGGTCCCAGGACTGTCTTGTGACTATGTTTTTCAATGGATGTAAAGTAACTTTCATGTGAACTGTGTCCTTGCAACATCTTCTCCTTCCAGAGAAAATAAACCTCTGAAAGAGTTTTGGTAGAAATTGAGATGGGAGAAAGTGATGGCCAGAAATAAGACCAATTTCAGTCAGTCTATAAGACCCAGTACTGAGGGCCTAACTTCCTAAATCCCAAATGTTCCCATCTTCCCTTCCACCAAAGTCAATGAGAGCAGGAGGAGACAGGACCACCCATCACTGGGCCTTTGGGTTGCCATCCTTCCTGGTGCTGAATGCCTCTGCCTTTCTGAGGAGAGAAGAAACACACCCGCTTCTAGTCTGACTTTACAACAGCTTCACCCTACTGATTTCTTGATCGTTTCTCCCAATTCGTGCCTGTTTCTCCTGATTTACACACGCCCGGGACTTCACAGACCTAAAAAATCGGTGCGCATGATTAGCATGTGACATGATGAGGCCCACAATTTCTTTTTGAATTATTTTAAGCCCAGCTATGGGGAGTCCAGGATGAAGCCAATCCAAGTGCCCCAAGTCTAAGGCATCCCTGTTGTACTACTGCTAAGACTAAAAAACCTCTTTTTCTGTAAAGATACGCTTGAATTGTAATACTGGCCACAGCACAAACATCTCAAAGGAAGCAACAGTATCCAAAGGGGATTTTGCTTCAAAATGCATCTAATTGAAGCTCGCCAAAGTGTCACAAAAAGAGGTCCGGTGACTCACTCCAGATGCTGGGACTCTGAACTGTTTGGCTGAAGGAAGAATTTCTGAAAAGCGTGATTATTATGGCAAGAGGATGGCAAAGGCTTCAGAGTCAAAGCAACACAAACTTTAAAATGTACCCCAGCAGAGTGCAAAGACATAAATGAAGCAACAAAATTATGCCCTGAATCACCTGGGACCAATAACCACCTCATCACTCCTCTAGTCTGACTTTCACAGCGTGCGGCAGCCGACTTGAGTTTACAAGTTACCACAAAACCATGTTTAAGGAGCAGTTACTCACCAGAAACTGAAACCAAATGTGTATTATTGTCAGATAATTTTTGCAGACTTCTGAAATGGCTAAAATCTGTTTTAAATGACACCGGCATGAAGTTGTTAGGTACCAAGAAAAACAGAACAATGTAATGAAACTCCTTGAGCAGGCTTGAGAAGGAAGCGATTTGTTTAATGTTCAATTTGCATGTAATGTTTAGCAAGTCTGTCAAAAACTGCATTCTGGATTGGGGTTTGGAAACTATGCTGAGTTTCTCGAGTTGGCTGAAGCCACAGTGGCCCATGCTGATTGGCTAGGAAGCTAAAAGTTGATATAACTTGCAGATCTTCCAGCTACTGGCTTAATTCTACTGTCTGCAGAAAAGACCCAGTGCAAAGAGTGCATTTACACTGATATCATACAGACTTTCAAGTTTAGCTTGTGGGGAAGGAAGAAGAAGCAATTTAAAGGAAGGAGACTGGATTGGCCAACTCTTCCTCTTCCAACATACAACTGTTGCCTACTTGTTTCTATGAAAATTCTCCAGATATTTTTCTACCCTTTAGTTGACTGTTGAAAGGACAAAAAGCCAAATTTCTGGGTCCAACTAGGTTGAAGAACATTGCCAAGATATACATAGCATTCCTCTGTGAATAAACAATGATGCAAGTGTCCCTCTAAGTAACATTTTGCCCCTGGCCAAATTTCGCACCAATTAATACATTAATACATTTTGCACTGTGACTCTGTATTTAAGCACTCAAAACACATGAAGATGGGAGCATTCAGACAATTGCATGACAGAAAATACATGTGGATATGCAAATAAGAAATTATATGAGTTGGTATTTGTCCCCTATTGATCACTTATCTTTCTTTGGTAAGTCTAAGGTACATACTAGCAAGAGGAAAACGTAAGCAAAACCACCTGCTTTGCATACACTAGTGGGAATTTTGCAATTGCACCTTAGGTGCCTATCTTGATGTTTTGCCATGACCATATCATCATTCTTATCAAATTAACCACGTGATAAAAAAGTGAGACACGCAACTGGTTTAAAGGCCTTTTACAATGACTGACTGGCCATGGCAATGGCTTTAATGGGATTTAAGCACATGCTTAAATGCTTTGCAGAAGAGAGAGAGACTTCAGCATGTGCTTAATATGAAACATGAACTGAAGTGTTTTACAGGTTCTGGGACTTAATACAAAGTTCTGTACAACTCTTATTCTACACCATGGAAGTCACACAAATTTAACAGCAGCAGATCTTAAGGGAAAGTTGGAGGAAGAAGTGATTTTACCCATATCTAGTGGAGTTACACAAAAGTGAAGCAACACTGGAATGGTGCTAGGGAAATGACTCACCAAATACGAAGGACGTTTTCCCTGGGGCTGTGTTTCTGTGTTTATCAGGCAGAGGGTACTTGCCTTATGCAGCAGAAAAGCTTGAAGCACTCGCTCCTTGCCAGAGAAAAGATGTGCCCTGTGACTATAGCCCTGCTTCTCGAAGGCAAGGAGTCTTGGAGGGCTTGTCAACAGGAGGACAGTCTGGAAAGTTAAATGAGTTAACTAAAGAAGTGAAGGTAAAGCACTTGCGTAGATGCTCTCATTCAGAGCTGAAGCAAACTTGGGTTGCTGTAGTGCAAGGTTTAGCTACAGTAACATAAGGCCCCTTTGTATTGTACTCATGCCAGAGTTTACTGTGACTTTACCTTTACACCTTTCCCTTCAACTCCCATAAGTCCCATCCTGTAGGCATGCTCTTGGTAATGGAAAAACTAAGGGTAGCAACAAGTTCTAGCCCAGATAGGCTCAAGCATGCCCTGTCTGCAACCCATCCACCCTTGCCCATAAGCAGCACTGCAGCTGGATGTTTACTGGTGAAGATGCTGGGAGGTGTCCCTCTGAGGCTGCTCTTCCTTGCTCAGTCTTTGGCATTCTTGAAGGTGGCAAAGGGTGGACAAGCCTGGAGCCTCCTCAGTGATGTATTTCTGGGTCTTGGAGCATGTCAGACCCTCAAGCACCAGAATTCACCACTGCCACTGAGTGGGCAAGCCGTGACTTTGAAGGACAATTATAGCAGCTCCTCCATTGCCCTCTTCTGCTCTGTGCAGATGTCTTTCCCACTTAAGCGTCTCTTCACGTGCAGGCAGAAAAGCAGCTCCCCACTGTAACTCATGGCGCTATGCAGGAAGTGCCATGAGTTACAACACTCACCTGGACCCAGCAGATGTTTGCTGTTGGGTTTTGGGGGTTGGAGAATTAAGCTGCTGTTTAGAGCAGCTGTGAGCTTGCATCCACTCTGCCCTAGCAACATCCTACCCCTCTTCCAGCCCCAGCTGTGTTTTCAGAATGGGAGGGTGGAAAGGCAGCAGAGGGAGCTCATTCTGGGGGTTGCCCAGCTGGTGGTGGAGGGTGAGGCAGGTGAATTGGAGCCCCCCCACCCCAGCTTAAAAAAACACAGACCAAACTCCCTCTGCTTCCTTCCCCCACTCCCAGCCTGAAAACAGCACTGGGAGCAGGGCTCATGCAATGAGGGTTCAGACTGTCGCAGGATCAGGCCCTTTTAAAATGCTCTGCAGCCACACGCTTGTGTTTGCTCACGGCTGTAGAGCACTTTCAGTGATCAGATTGGGCAAAAATTGTCACTTCTGTCTGAGCCTTTTATGTTTTTCTAAGAAGAGGAGTGCAGCTTGAAGGGGCAAGAGTGGCCTCAGAGGAATGTTATGCAATGCAGCCTGAAGTGAAAAGTAAAAGTGGGAAGATGACTGAGGGCAAGGACAGCAGAACTCATCACGGTGCCAAAAGGAGTGGGCTCCACATCAGGTGCTCAGTGGTAACAGCCATCTGCACATTCCTGCCCTGGGCTAAGCAGAAGATGTAGTAGCTTACTTAGTCCAGTGTTTCCCAACCAGTGTGCTGCAGCACAAAGATGTGCTGTCAGAAATGAACAGGTGTGCTGCGCAGTTTTGACATGGCAATGCGCTACAATAGGTATGAGGATGGGGAATGCCTTAACAGGTGTGCCGCAGAAAAAAATTATTAATGTAAGTGTGCCTTGGACTGGAAAAGGTTGGGAAACACTGGCTTAGTCCTCAGTGAAAGAGGAGTTATGTAGCTTCCACTTACCATGGAATAGGAGTGTGCACCTGGCCAGGTTTGTAGAGAAGCTGATGAATGGAAAACCTGTCCCATTTTAACACATGGTTAATTTATTCCTACATCTAACACCCTGATCTTATAATATGTTGCTCACATGCACCTCCCCACTGTTATGTGGGGTCTAACATATTTTGGGAAATGACCCCCCCCAAAATCTTGAAATCTGCCAGCAATAAACACATTTCCAGAAATCCCACCCAACTAAACCCCAAATCACGAGCCATTTGCTCCTTTTCCTGGTAATCCCAGTTTGCATCTGATCTTGCAGTGTCCATAACACTCCCACTAATTTGATAAACTAATCTGGAAATACTTATTATGCTTGTTCTGGAATATAGCATAAAACGTGCTGAACTGATCCTTGCTGAAACCCCAGCAAAGTCAGTGGAGTTACCTCAGGGATCAATGTGGGCTAATGTCCCAGTGTCTGCTGAAAGCTTCTGCACACTTACTCCATGAAGGTAATGTCTACTAGGCCTGTATAGCAGCAACCCTACCAGCTCATCCACTGCTTTGCACTATTTCCTTAACCTGAGCATGCACGATAGGTGAACCCCTTGAAACAGTCTCCCCAAATACTGAACCCTCAAGCCCAGACTTCTTCAGTGGGACTGCACTGATGCTGTGGCATTAGTGTGTCCTGGGCAAGAGGAAGCAGGATTTGGTCTATCCTGGAAATGGAAAAGGATCAGCCCGCTGCCCTGCTGCAGCAGAAGCGACTAAAGGCAGTGTGTGGGGGAACTCAGTGCAATGATACCAGATCTCTCAGCTCCTACAGGATCTGGAAGACTTGGTCACTGCCTTCTCATGTCTCCAGCAACAGAAAATACACAGGTGTTTGGTGTCTCCCACAGTGATTCTCTTAACCCGAAAAGTGAAACCTTGATATGTCTCACCAGACTTGCAATGAACCTAAAAGGCAATCGCCCACAAGCAAAGGAGAGGCCTATCAATACATTTATATGTTGGCAGTTAAGCACCCAGGAAGAGAAGAAGCTGAGCTTTCAGCAGCCAAGCATTCATTCAGGGAGATAGATCAATGTGGTACTCGCGTCCTCCTGTGGACACAGCCTGCTCTCCAAGCCATTCAGTTATATACAGACTGCAGCACAGTGGGAAAAACCTGCAAGCTATATGAGTGTAACTTGGTCAACCATCCTTTGCCCACCATGCCAAGCACAAAGGAAAAGGAAAATAAAGATATAAATAACCAAGGCTGCAGCTTTGTAGCATCAAAAGAAAGAAAGAAAAATTTCAAACCCTCCTTTTAAAGCACAAGTGAAATTCTGTTAGAACCCAAAGAGAGAGTACTTAACTTCATCTACCGCGCAGCTACATCAGTGTCTGCAACTGCAGCAGTGGTTTAACTAAAACTCTATGTCGGCACAAGATGCTGCAAGATTGCATCTTTTTGCACAAGAGCAGTTAAATTATGTCTGCTCGCACAGGATTCAGATTCTCTGCTGGTATCAATCACTTCAACTCCCCGGAAGTTATTTTTCCTAGCAGGGAATTTGGCCCCTATTCTGTGGGGGTGAACCAGGGCATATTTGAGGAGAATCTTTTTTTCTTTAAACACTTTACTTATTCCCATCCCAAACCCCAGACTACACAACTGGAAAACTGCTACTTCTCCACCATTCCCGTTACTTAAATGACTGGCTAAGCCCAAGTCACATTAATTGAAGCAGAAAGTGTGGAGGTGGGAAGATTAGACAACAAACACAGCAATTCACTACTGATACCCTAGCAAATATATACAAGGACAAGCGGGGAGTTTGTTTGCCAATAATTCGGTTGGTATGCAGCAAAACAGAGCAGTCTGCCTGCCTCACTGGTTGGAATCACAAGAGGAATATGCCATTTGAAAAGAGTGCCAATTAAGGAACAGTTGTGCAAAAAACGAGATTTCTGTCATTGTATGGATATACAGGATTTTTCCTTACCTACAGAATATATATATATATAGATACACACACACAGACACACACACACACACACACACACATATATATATATATATATTCAATTCTTGGAGTGATTACAGCTACTTCGGTTTACTAAGCATCCTAAGGGCACTTTCTGGCTCTAGCAATTAAATCCATTGTATTATAGACAAAAAAAATAAAGGGAATATTATTGTGGAGGAGAAAAGAGCAGCTTCCTATTGTGTTATACAACATCATGTAAAAAGTTTATACACGTGAAAACTATTGTTGAGATTTCTGAACACAGAAATTTCCTCCCCTCTGCCCCCATTGGCAAGTGTTCGTGTTGGCCCAATCACTACGAATGCAAGTGTCCTTATCAGGTTTTCCCTTTTTGTGAAGGAGTGGCTCCTCTCCAGATGGGGTTGAGACTATACAGCATGTTATCCTATGCATTTGCTGTCGGTCGGCTAAGGGGACACGGATGTGGATAGCTCAAAAGAGTTTTGCTTTTTTCTTCATGTTGTTGCGTCTCCACAGAGGTAACTTGTCAAATTCCTGTATCGTCATGCCAAATATTTCCTGGAAAACCTCAGGGGCTAGGTGGCGCTGAAGAGAAGAAGAAAAGACAAGGGTCAGTTCTAGCTAACAAGATGCTAGAGGACAAATTGGAAAACAGGCCAAGCCAGGTCCGGCGATAATCTGAGGAACTTGATAGTCATGGGGCATTCGTTACTGAAATAACAATGCTTGATCAGAAAAGTTATCCAAATTCTGATCCATCACCAGTGGACCAAGCCTTAACTCTTCCACATGGCTTTTCCTCAGTGTATCTCAAGGCACTTTACAAATGAGGTTGCTATATCATTAATCCCATAATGAGGCTTAATTAGAGAAGGGCTGTAACTTGCTCAAGGTTAGCCACCAGGTCATCAGTAGAAGTGGGAAGAGAGCCCAGGACTCCTCTCTTCCAGTCCCATTCGTTACTCACTGTGGTTCCCATCGATTAAACTTCCAAAAACCCTCATGGGGCTGTTCTACTATCCCCATTTTGCAAAGGGAAAAACTGAGGCAAAAGGTGCTTAAGAAGTCTCCAGAAAGGAGGTCCCCAGTTCATGGGAGTGGGTAGCACCAAGGGGGTATGTTCTGCATGAGAAGAAAGCACAGGGGTGGGCAAAATGATGGATCAGGCCAGTGGCTGGACTCCATTTCCCAGCAGCCCCTGCCCATGTCGGGGTGGTCAGTTTCCATGCAGACCCCACAAACTGGGGGGGGGGGGGGGGGGGGGGGGGTTGCCGGGGGGAACGGGACGTGATAGCACGGGGCCAGGGTTTCCATGGAAACTGGTCCCACCAGTGCTGGCAGGGCATGCAGCTGGGCAGGAAGCTGCTTCAGGGCCGGGGCTGAGATCTTGCAGCAGTGGCAGGATGGTCCGGAGCTGGGAGAGAGCCATGATCCGCTGCTTGCAGATTGCAGCTGTGCCCTGGCTCCTGGGAAACCAGCTGCTGCAACATGGGCAGGGGCTGCTGGGAAATGGAGTCCACCACGGGCCCGATCTGGCCTCTGCCCACCCCTGAGAAAGCACCTAACAACTCAGCTTCCCTTCCTTTTTTGAGGGAGTGATGTCCCTGAATATCCCTGAGCCAAGCCCCCTGGCTCCTTCTAGGCGCTAGACAGGTTTCTTGCTCAGCAAGTGCTGAGAACGGGTGGAAAGTCTTCTAGATGCACTAATGTAATAAAGGGCAGGTTTATGCCTATAGATTTCTGGCATTTAAAAAAGATGGCCAAACAGCCACCCCACTATCTGGGTATCTCTCCAACTATCTCACTACCTCTCTCATGCACATTCACAAGCAATTGTTTGAAAGCAGCAACATCAACCCTCCTGCTTCCAGATGTGAGTCAACCACTAATTGAAAAGTGTTAGCAAGAAACTTCTGCAGGTTATTCCATAAATGTCCACGGTGGAGTCCCTGAAGCATCCGAGCCTGACTTCCACCACAGACACGATACAGAACCTGCTAGACTACTGTCCGGACAGAGTTAGTCCGATGGCTGCAAAACAAGCAAATGCAACATGGATTGAGAATGAACGATGAGAATTTGAGCAGCTCCATCAAGGGGCGTTCACACTAACTCCTACATGCAGTTTTGGAACAGGGACTGTATTCAACACCCTTCTGGCCACCTCGTTGCTATGTGCATACTACTTGCATACTGGCTTCTGGCTTCTAGCCCATCCAGGAACAGCACAGAACAACTGCAGACGCTTCCTCTGCCTGAAGAAGGGTCTTTGAACCCGAAAGCTTGCAAAGCAGAATTTTTCCAGCTATTTTAGTTGGTCTAATAAAAGATATCAGATTTACCCAAAGATCCATGTCTGCTTATGTCCTTAGACCAAGCACGGCCACAACCAACACCCCTGATTGCTATGTGAGGCATTCCTGTGAAGCTTCTTCCTGTAACCCAGGGCCCAGACATCTACATTTGATCTCTCAAGCAAGCAACAAGAAACCTCGGCTGAAAGTTTACTTAGGAATTGACTTCTCTTACCTCGAGCCTGGTTCTGTCCACGTCTCTTAGTATTTTATTTCGTCCTCTGTTGGTCACCATGAGCACTTCATATGGATAAATCTGTTAACAGTGTATAAAGAGGGGGGGAAAGAGATATAGTTATATTCTAGAGCACAGAATATTCATATATTCTTCTTATAATAACCACACAAATAGTATTCTTGAAAGGAAACTAAAAACCCTTACGAAAAGCTTATTTAAGGTCCTGAAAGTATAGTCTAGTTTGAGCTAATTTAATACCAAAAGCAAACTATACCAAATTTTACAGGTTTTTGGACTGATTTGGGGGAGGGTTTGTGCTTCACACTTCCTATTATCTGTTATGCAAGGTATAGTACACATTTGTTTTCAGCCATAAAGTATAGTTGCATCTCTAGTCAACGTTTTGCCCTTTGATGAGTCAACACAGAGTTCATTAAGGCAAAAACGAATGATTTATAAGCATGTTTGAAGGTTGCCATAACTTGTACATCTACGAGGGGAAAAAAAATACATCTATTGTACTGAACATCAACCGAAATACACTCAAAAAAGTTTGCTTTAACAAATAATTTAGTTACCATGTGGTACCACTGCATTGAATGACGTTCATCAGGTATGTTTTCTTCACGTGTTTCAGATTATTACAGACCTTACACAGGTTCCCTTAGTAAATTTGACCCTGACAAAGACTGATGGATTTCAAACATTCCTGTAGCTAGATTTTTACATTACAACTCTTTATGCTCTGTAATATGGCAAACATCCATTACGTCTCGTGTTAAATGTTTTCTCTATTTTTATTTATATTGCACTGAATATCCAGGTATTATGCAGACCAGATGTCTGGCCATAATACATTTCAGAGGTTACGGACAATTGTGCTTTTTTTCCCTATTTGCTTGGACAGATTTAATCCCATGTTTCTAAAATGAAAAGACTTGAAGTAACATCTTTTTTGCCAACTCTTCCCAAATTAAACTAACACAATCTAAATGATACTCTGGAGAAAGAAACCCATACAATCTGGTGCTTTACATAAGGTGTCTGAATCACAGCCCTGCAATCATGCCTAGCCTCTGCAATGACCCAGAGAGACGATGACTTCAGTAATGAAATGTCTAACAGTTAGTTCACTGAGCATGGTAACAGGTCCCTGGTTAGGTCCTGACCCAGCTACCTCCAAAGTCAACGCAAGTCTTTTTACAAACTTCAGAGGAAACTGTATTGGCCTTTATGGCCAGTTGTAGTAGTTATTTTAATGACTTGGATATTTGCCCAATGGGACCAGGACCGAGACCACCAATCCTTTATTGCAGAGGCAAAAAACATCAGAAGCCTTTAATATGCTTAATGCCATGAGAAGGGAAGACGTCACAGCTAACATTTGAGTTTTACTGTTTCGCTAAAATGTTCATTCTATTGTCACCATTTAAAAAAACTTTAAAGGCACAAGAAATAAGATTCAGCCATCTGTGAACATACCACTGAGTTTATTGTAATTAATATTTTAAAGAAAGTGGACTTACATACTGATTTGTAAGATATGGTTCTTAATAGACTCTGTCATTCTTATAATTACACATTTGGTTCTACTTTATACCTTAGGAGTTACATTGTTCATGTTCTATGCTAAAAACAACCACAGAATACAGAATTAGATAAAACTAAAATGTAACGTCATAACAGAACCACCACAGTGACCTCAGGAAAAGTTTAAGTTCAAGCTGTGAGGTCAAAAGCATATTTCATATTTAGAAATTCACAACACAGCATTGTTCATAACTCCAGGTTATATCGGATGCACAAATTCTGTCCTCCTTTTGAGGCACCTTTTGATAGTTTTGGGTGTTCTAAAATGAACTGATTTTTATTTTCCAGTTTCTTCATTGGTATTGGGGCATATCCTAGGTACTTTAAATTAATGGAGCCAGGCCGATTCAGATAACCAAATATTTAGGCCAATACTTTTAAATGTCAACAAAACCCAAAGTTTTACATCAGCAAGATTTTTTCCATTAGGAAAATGACAGAATTTGCTACCCAAAAAACTTTAAAAACATTCATTTTAAATAAGTTGACTAGGTCCAGCAACAGCACTGGTGGCAGTAAGGAATTATAGTGCATCTGAGAAATCATTAGAATGGATAAGTAGCATCTGAGGAGATGAGAATGGCCCCAAGCTAGATTGTATATAGTTTACTTAAATTTTCATGTATAACGAAGCTTCTAAATCCAGGGTTAAATTCTGGTATAATTTATTGAGAACAGGAAAAGCAATTTTTGTTTACAAAAACTGCTCTTCAACCTAAAAGCAGAAATATTGAACCTTAAGACTGTCGTAAAACCAGCAGAAACAGGCAAGCCAGCAGTGGAAGAATGCAGAGAATACAGACCCAGCTCTGATCGTTAACATGTACTGTTTTTCCAGTCCCAAATGCATTTACCCAGAGCGGTAGAGTATCATGAAATATGGTACAGTAATGACTCTTTCTCAACCAATGTACTAAGAATCTCTTTTTTCCCCCATCCAAGAGCAAATTTAAAAAGCTGATGTAAAGTGCCTGAATTAATAACAGCACTGGAGAGCTAAGCCCTTGTTTGCACTGTGAAGTTCAGCTGGCAAAACTGTCAGACAGGGGTGTGGAAAGATCACAACCTGTAGCTGATGTAGCGATGATGGGAACACCTCCAGTCTAAATTCAGCTCTTTTAGCAGAAGTCAAACTCTCCCATTCACAGGAACTGGGTAAGTAGCAGCAAAAAACCTCTTCTCCCAATAGAGCCATGTCTATAGCAGGGGGCCCAGGCACCATTGCACACTTAAAAGGCATCAGGCCCATACAGTAGAGATAGTTTAGGTATTTTACTGATTGTCAGAGCATGGACTGCATGGGCAGAAGCCTTACAAGCTTCCCTAGAGACACGCAACCCCCAACAGCTTCACTTCTCAAGCCCAGAAAGACTAAGACTTCTCCCCTCTGAGTTTGGGAGGAGTGGCCACCCAATGACTTGGAGGGCTGGGAGTGCAGTTCAACCTTTATAGCTGCTTAAATCTTTGCCCTTTTTTACTGAGACCTTACTGCTAATGCCAGTTTTGGCCAGAGCTGATTCTGGATGGTGCCAAGTGTTTTTGGGAAGAACTGTACTGAGAGGCCCAACTCCCATTTAATTTATATAAACCACAATTCATATTATGTGCTAATAGTTTTCTTTCTGCAATTTTTGAGAGGAGAACACCTAAACTGAGACTATTTGCTTCCTTTGTGTTTTACCAGAAAATCCAAGTTATGGTATGAGCTGTGTGCAATCTACACATGGTAACTAAAACAGTCGGTTGCAGTGGCTGTGTTTCATATTTGTATTGAGAAAAGCCAGGTTTTGATGAAGATATATTAGTCTAAATGTTTGTGTGATAAGTAGATGCACGCCAAAGGGTCACATGGGAGTCACATGGTGATCACACAATGCTTCTGCCAATTAGACAGGTAGCTAGGCCAAATCATTCATTATATGCGGCATGCTCACGGCAGTCCAGTACATCTGCAGTCCCATGACACTGTCTCTCAACTGCTCTTGAAAATAACATTTTCATATTCACCTCTGGGCTCATTCTCTTATTTAAATGGAATTGGAACAAAGAGATTCTTAGAACTCAGCTCTTTTGCATGCAGCTGCTATTTAAAATGGGAGAACTTCAGACACGCACGTTACCCTTAGTCAGGAAAATGAACTCCTCATGTGCATAACTGCGCTTTATTATACTTCATGGACATCTGAAATGCACTGAGCAGAGGCCTAGCAGTCATGATGATGAGACTTGCTTTCTAAACCATCAGAATATACGTGTACATTTATATACATACAAGGTTTGTGTGTAAATGATTTCTCCTGTCCCACTGTAACAGCTCAAGTATCAAACCCTATTTTTAGGGCTGATGGTCATTTCTACTAAAGCCCCTTTGTACTAAGGGTACAAAAAGGTGTTAGCACGAGAACTACACCTGTTGGGACAAAATTTTGAAGGTATTTGGGCACATGAAGATGGAGGTTAGGACCTTGCAGGATCTCTCTCCTGCTTTTGAAAATCCCACTAGATCCCTAAATGCCTTTAATAATCTGCTAGTGTTCCCTGCCCATGAATAATCTGTGGCCGATACTGCCTCAGTACAGCTGAAACTGCCCACCTGGAGTTGTCTCTCTCCAGGGTTATGCATGGTAGTTTTCTACTCTTTTGGTTCTAGGAAGGTGGCAGCTACACTGGAGAGAGGATCAGCTACATGTGGCATGGCTCAAACACTTTGAGCATCTTCGGTTTATCTCTAGAAGAGCCTTTGTCATGTCAAGGCCTGTGGCTCTGCTTGCCCTATCGCAGTGCAGACAGGAGGCATAGCTACTCAAGGCAAGGACCAGAGCAGAGGGAGAAGTTTGGCAAAAGCAGAAGCAATGACTGGGGTGTAGCAAAGGCAAACACCAGAGAGTCAAGACATTTTCTATGATCTCTCATCTGCATGATAGTCAAACCTTCACTGTCTCAAAGGAAAGTGAATAATGTCTGCACTTGCCTTTGGTTCCAACATGTTAGGCATAGACACTCCTCTGTCCATTCTCATTCCAGGGACATGACCATCCGGGAGGGACTGCATCGGATACAGGTACACATCAGACACACAGGTTACACACGCACACACACACAGGGTAAAGGCACTCATGTAATGATGAAAACAGAGGTGAATTTACCCTCAAACCTCCCCTAGGTCCTTAAGTTTAACCTTGCTCTACAGAATGCCATCATTACTATTGCTTAGCATTTTGCCAGTGTGAGCTGTAGGAGCTCCCAGCTCGTTTCCCTCCCTTATGGACTATAAGGTAGTGCCAGCTAAATGGGATCACACACAGCTCTCTGTGGAGCCCTTCAACACCAGTCCATAGCCCACCAGAAGTCCCTAAGAGTGACAGGACCTCTTGTGCCTCAAAAGCTGCGCATGCTTCTTCGGTGGGTGTGTAGCTTGAAATCTGAACTCATAGTCCACATAACCCCATTTTGGGACACTCTGAAGCTGCTGGACTAGCTTGCTGCTTACAAATGTCACAGCCACTCCCTACATGTCTTACCCTGTAAGGTGTTGGAGGTAGAGAGCTGAATTTCACCGGATGTTTGGCTTTAAAGATTCCCTTGTTCAGTAGCAAAATAGCAAATACATTAGTCACTGGGACAGTGCTAGTGTCGCTTTGCTCTGACAAAGCAACTGTAAAAAGTGGCACCACGCATTTCTGCATTAAGTAATTTTTCCTCATAAATAACTACTGCTTGAGATGGGCTCAGCTGACCAGTAAACAGTCTCTTCTTCCAAGTGTTGACAGTGGAAACTCCACCTGGACCTGGAAGTCGGTCTGGGTTCTTTCCATTTTGCATGGAAAGAACAGCCTTGTCAGCCCTATTACAAAGCTTCCCTTACATTTGAGTCTCCTGCATCTCCATGATACTCTTCCTGACACCTGCACAAGCCTTCCTTGGTTGTGTACAGGTACAAAAGATTGAAACTTTAGGCCTCAATAAACTCCCACCAAAGTCCATCTCTGCACTCCCTGACTAGTCCTTTAATTGGGGGTATGATGGTTAATTCTGCTGCAGAGGCACCAGGAAGACTAGCATGCATCTGACATGCTGGCAGGGCAAGTGCACTGAGCTAATGTCCAAAAGTTGAAGCAGTTTATTCTTATCATTAAAACCAATGGATTTGACTATGAATTCCCATAGAGACAGCTCTATTGTATAAACAGGTGCCACTTCTACACAGTTGCTGTTCAGAGCAGAACCACACTTTAAGGATAATGCAAGAGGATAACGTAAATACACTTGATCATCCTCTTGCTGCTAAGCAGAGTCTTTGATATGCTGCATAATACATCTGTCTGTGTATTTAAACTATTTATTAATATTATTTAACATTTGCATTGTGGTAGTGCCTAGATGCCAACCCAGGGGAGGGCCATTTGTGCTGGGGTCCTAACTGCCTAGTGTGGACGTTCATTAAAATAAGCACTGGCAACAATTTTCAGTGGGAACCTGGAGGAGAAGGGCAGAGCACCTACTTCCAGGGAAGCGATGGTGATGGCATCGCAGAAGACCACTTCCCAACCTTTTTGGCTGGAGGGTCAATTCCACATTGGCAGCCACGGACAAAAAAGGAGAATTCAGGGCTCACTGTTTAAAATGGGCACCCCCAGAATGAAGAGGGCTGTGTCTACCCTTCTCTTTGGTTGGGACCAGCCAAGCAGAGGGAAATCCCATGCTAAGATGCCAAAAAGGAATTACTGGAGATAATTTTCATTCCATTAACATCACCACGCTGGTCACAGAATTGGCGTTCGGGCCTCCTCACCCAGTTCTGGGACTGTCAGGAAGTAACTGAGCTGTGCCTGTTCCTTGTGGATAAACGGCTACCTCGTCGATTATGCTTAAGCATGCAGATAAACTGAAACAAAAATGTCTTAAGAAACCCTTCCCTGTAGCAGAAATTCAGATTCGAGTATGAGGGGATGCTCTTAGCTCTGCTGTCAGTTGAGTGGTGAATACCCATACTCTACCTGGAAATCTGAAAAGAAAAAAAGAAAAAAATCTCATCAGCATCAGATAGCAAAGAAACCTGGATTGATCACACATCACAGAAATATCAGTTTCTCATCCTAAGCAAAATGAGATCATTTTGCAGCCTCCAGCAAACCCCGACTCACTGTTCATCACTTTGGTCCAATTAATCCTTTGTAGAAATGTCTGAAGGTTGTTAGCTTCAATTCCCTAAATGGCGGTAGGCGCTTTTGTCACCTGTCTTGTATTATTTTATAATTAAGCATAAATTGTCTCCTCCTGCCATGCAAATTACAACACTGTAGTTGGCTCTGATGCACTACCACATCTGGGGAGAAATTCAGGTTTTATTTGGATGAGCTTGACTCCAAAGGCCAGATCCAACTTCTACTGAAGCAGCTAGAAATATTTCTTAAAAAAGGGCTTGGAGCTGAAGGTTTTATCCTTTATGAGGAAGAAAGGAAGCCAATTTAACAACATAACTTTAAAAACTGATTCAGTTAAATCACTGCAATCTGATCCACGTGACTTGAATCCATACACTTTTCCTGTGTAGAGGAGTTTTACATGTTTATACTCTAGCATACCAAGAGCTGTGGTGCAGACAGTAGACAAACATTTCTTGTAGGTCAATTAGAGTAATATCCATCAATACAAGTGCAAATTATTATTTAAAATACATCATCATCATCAAAATGTTATTTTTTTTGCAAGTAGGTCAATTAAAGTAATATCCATCAATACAAGTGCAAATTATTATTTAAAATACATCATCATCATCATCAAAATGTTTTTGGTTCTTTTTGCAAGTACAGCAAGTTCCCACCAGTTAGATATCAAAGGGCTCCTACTGGCATCGTCAATGCTGCTTGTCCCGTACACGGACTGGTCCCCATTGTTTATTTTAATGCAGTTTCTCCAGGTATCCCCGAGCTATGAAATCTTGCTTTAAATTGGCCACAAAACACTCATTTTGAAACAATCTGATTCATTAAAAAAATTCCAATCTACTCAACATTTTAAAATTTCAAATGATAACAACATTTAAAATAATCTGAATTTTTTGAAAATTAATTACGACAAAGAAAATCTCTGATAAAAACTGTTTAGCTCCCTCTATTGAATGAGTAGTACAGACACAGCCTCTGGGTGGGGTATCAAAGTGCTTCTATTGGAAGGTACGAGGAGTCTGGAGCTTCCCTCCCTCAGGCCTGTACATGGTTAAAGACTCTTAATAATACCTTTCAGCTCAAGCTGCTTTTGCAAGATAAATTGCAACCTCCTAAAAAGAGAAATTGCAATTAAGGACAGAGAAACCAGTTCAGCAAATATCTGAACTGATCACAAAAGTCTCATCTTTCCCTGTTCGGTGAAATGATCCAGGCTTTTAGAAGGGTTGGGTCTCTTTTAAAAAGAAAGGGCAGTTTCATTCAAAGATTTGTGCCCAACATAACTCTACACATTAAAAAGAAGGTCCCTTTCCTCTTACCCGTACCTTTCCTAAACTAATCCCTCTTTCCTATAGCAGGGTTCAGTCATCCCTGCTCTGTGCATTGGCCTTCCTTTTTCCTAAGATAAACTCTACCCTGCTCACTGCCTGACTGTCCTTCTGCCCCTTATGCCACTCAACTGA